ACATAGCACACTTAAAATATGGAAGACCTGAAAAATCAGCAGTCGCCCATTATATTTTGCAACAAAACCATTCCATAGACTTCAGTTCATTAAGATTAGTTAGACAAGTTAACAACAACAGGCAACTAGATGCCTATGAGAGTGTAGAAATAAGTAAACACAATAATATTATTAATAACGATGACGGACCAATACCAAATAGCACACTATATAGCTTGTTAAAATAATATTATTGGATTTACTGATTACTACATAAGGACACAGTGTAAAAATGAATTTGGATAGGAATATTGTGAAATTAATTTTTTATATAGCTGAAAATTGTTTTATACATAACTATAATATTTAAACACTACATAAGGACATATTGTAAAATAATAGATAAGGCAAATTGTAAAATTAATTTAGAGAGGTATACCTGTATGGGTGGTATACCTATATGGTTTACATGTATAGTATGCCTGTATAGCATAAATAGCGTTAGCTTAGGAAAGTTTCCAGTTTAATCTTATGAAAATATTAATCGATGGCGACAGTTTTAATCTTCCTCTTTGAAGATGATCACTTGGTGATCGAAACACGTGTCGAGGTGTTAAAAATAACGATTTGGTGTTAGGAAAGAACTCCAGTAATATTTATTACTACACCAAAGGTTCCAAACAGTGCATCATAAATTCTTATGAGTGATCGTGTGTGGACATTTATTAAAAATAGAGAAGGTGTCAAAATTGAAATTCAAGAGCATAGGTGCGAGCATTTCAAGACAATAAAATGCACACAGCAATGATTTTTTTTGTGAAATTTCCTGAAGAAGATATTCAATATTTTCCAATTATAAAATATTTGCAGGAACCGATTGTCCGAGCTGGTTCTGATTCATATTCAATTCAAATACGTTCATTGATTGGTTTTGTTGGAGAGGATTGTTCTTGTTTGTGGGGCCCCTGTTGGCCCCACACACCGGCTGGTTTTTGGTCTGATGTGACCTGGGGTGGTATCGCAGGTTATGAGTTCAGGTGGGGATCCGGGCTATCGGGCTGTCCGCTACCTCATTGTCAGCGGGAACCCATCCAGGATATCTCAGAACTGCTCCGGGATGTCCTCCAGGGCTCTTAGGAGTCTAGCTGCGGGACACAAGAGCTTCTTCCTCGGTATCCTTTTAATTGTGGAGCATGCCTTCCAAGGGGGTAGACAGCGTATCGATGATAGCAGTGTTTTTGCAGTGTCTGTTTAACGGTGATATGGTTGTGAATGTTTCGAAGAATTCTTCTCTCTGTTGTCAATATACGGTGGGTTTGTCTCGGAGAGATCGCACAGTTATAGTCCATGATCGGTCTCATAAACATTTTATATGTTTGGAGTAGAATCTCATTGACTCGTTGGCTCTTTTACGGACTCTGTCTAGGGTTTCACGTAGGTCGTTCTCCCATAATTGAAAGTCTTGTGAAAATTACCCCCAAATATGACAACATCCTATTTGGGTCTCCCAATAGACTGAGCTGGAAATTGTTAATGGTTAGTCAAGGTCGAATTGTGGTATTAGGGTGTCTGAAAAGGATGATTTTGTTTTAGTAGGGTATGCAGTACCCGCCTATGGGAATAGTAACGGAGCAGCGTGACTTATATATTATCTAAGCATTAGTCACTGAGATGACTGTGACAGTGCCGATTACATTATGTTATAGGATAGGAAATGTAGTATTGATTCATTACCGTTTGTGACTTGAAGTAGAATAGTCGTTAATATATCGTTATACTGTGAATACGCGTATGATTCCGTAACCTTGTCTAATCTACTACATCAGCATGCCAGCATGCCAGTAAACCATGTGCTTTATTATAAAGCCATACATGAATAAAAATCTAGTAGGTGGTAGAAAAACTGGCATCATTTCCATAATAATTAATAATGAATCAGATTTCCTTTAGGAACTATTTAAACAGAATACATTTTCACCTGAAATGATTTATTTTATAAATATATAATATCCCTCCGATTATCAAGTAAACCAACCGCCACTGTTTTATGGTCCAACTTACTTCATATGTAAACAAACTCTCCATAACCCCTCATTACCCGCCACTCCCCTTCGCCCGTAGTTTATACAGAAAAGGATAGTACGATACCCGTTTCAAAATACATGTATTGTATTGGTATAGGCATGGCAACCATATGTCTTATTATTACTCTGAGCTATGGACGGATATAGCATTCAACAACACATGCAAATAATAAAATTGCTTCAAAATAGGTGTTCTGTCAAATGTTCCTTTGTTTGGCATATATCTATTACTTTTTTTTTGAACAGCGACAACACTGGTCACGGTATCACTGTCCAATTTCAGAACTCAACTCATTCACAAATCACTTTGGTGTGTGCATTCATTTTTTATTATTCACTATTTGGACCTTTTGAAGAAAAAGTAATAAGTTTTCCTTTGTTTCTTCTGAAAATAAGGATGTAATCATTACCACCGTATAGAAGTAGAAGTGTTTACTTCTATACGGTGTCATTACGAACATTCCTTTTTTGTTCCAAGGTCATTGTGAAGTCTGTCATTTCCATATTTTATCCTTATCTGGCTTATGTCTGTGCTTATGTCGTATCAGCCCAGCAGATATTATATTATGTTTTAATTGAAAAAAGAACAATTTTGTAGGATTATTTACAGAAAAAAACTTATGTTTCCTTAGTTGTCATTGACAGATTGACCTTGTGTATTACTGAATTGACAATTTGGTGTGGGAAAACATATATAAATTATCTCTATTTTTAGCTCAAAAGTCGACCGAAGCTTCCTAGAGAATGTAAAATGTTATCAACAGGAGTGAATAATAATGAAGGTGGAAAGTATATCCCTCCGATTTTCAACTAAACCAGCCGCCACTGTCTTATGATCCAACTTATTTCAAATGTAAACAAACTCTCCATAACCCCTCAGTACCCGCCACCCCCCTCGCCCATAAGTTGTACAGAAAAGGATAGTAAGATACCCGCTTCAAAATACATGTATTGTATTGGTATAGGCATGGCAACTCTATGTCTTATTATTACTCTGAGGTATGAAGCATAGGCATTCTGTGATAAATAAGAAGAAGAAGAAATTGACGTACGTCAATTATCATTCTGTCATCCAGTAAAAGAATGGGTAGTGGGTTTGGATACTTAAATTGAGTCAATGGAGCAATTTTACCTAGGAATTGTACATAAAATTATTCTTTCTTTTCAACAACTTCAGTTATACTGATATAGTTGTAGTATTGGTTTTTAGTTCTGAGGAGTTCTAACCACGTGTATATTTGTATTGTATTGCGTTTAATCTGTCCAATTTTTGGGTGAAATTATCTATTTTATGCAAAAAAATCATTTGAGTTTTTTCATCTCACGTAGAAGAACTAGTAATGGCAGACTTTATAGATAGAGAAGCTGAAGAGAGCAGTGAGGTATGTGTTACTACCAAGATTTCTGACAAAATGGGACCATTTTGTTTCAATGATTTTTTCTAATTAATATCTCATTTATTCTCATTTCTAGGAGGAAGACTTAGAACCACGCGACCGCAAGAAAGCAAAGAAAGCTAAAGCTGTTGACAGTTCTGACGAGGAGGAAGAAGGTGAAATTGTCTATTTATATTAAAAGTATACAGTCCACAAGTTGACAGACCTAACATTATTAGTTACAAAAGCAGTAATAATTTATAAAAAACACGTTTTTCAAATTTTTCGTGTGCTGTAAAATCATCAAAACTCTTTCTCTAGGAAGCTTTATTTCTGATCAACTTGTAAACTAAACTAATATCTCATCTTTTGAGTGCTGACTGCTGAACTGTTGAGAAAATTGTATTGAGCTTATTTGAATCATCTTCTAATGGTTTTCTGGTTGGCAAAATACAGTTCTTCTTTGTATTAGCTCATTATTTATTGAATACTTTTCCAGATGATGAAGACCGTTTACGTGAAGAACTAAAAGATCTTATTGATGACAATCCCATTGAAGAGAGTGATGCGGAATCTGATGCATCTGGTAGTAGTAGTAAGTATCTATTAAGTAGGTTTTATATATATTATTGATATTAATATGATATTAATACCTGTTGCTACGTTGACCTATTTAATTTTTGAAAAAAAGAGAAGATTGACATTTTGGTGAAATTCCATGCAGACATCAGATTTAGCCTCTAGTTTTTGGTATAATTCAGTGGCTGAAACTGCAATAACATATTTTGAGACATATACTAGATTATACAGATTCAAAATTGATGTGAAGGTGAAAAAACATAGATTTTAGATGCAAATTACCTAGGACATTGCATACTTAATGAAACTGATTATTTGAAACTTTATTGTAAAGAATGTTTCATAAATAATCAACGTGGTTTTTCTATGAGAAAGTTTACAGTTAACAATCTATTGGTCTTTGAGTAAAATATTTTAGAGGTTCTGGGGAAAAAGGCCACATGGATGCAGTCTATATAGATTTCTCCAAGGCGTTTGATTGTGTGGATCACAACATATTATTTAGTTTCATTGATCTGTCTTTATCATGGTTTGGCAATTTCTTGACTGGCCGATCTCAGCAAGTCAGGGTAGGAAATGCTAGGTCAACCATTATTCATGTAACGTCGGGAGTACCTCAAAGTACACCTTGCACCTCTTTTGTTCAACATCTTTGTTAATGGTGTTATAAAATGTTTTGAAAATTCAAACTTTCTGATGTTCACAGGTAATCTTGAAATTTTCAGACCAATAGAATCATTAGATTATGTTAATCTGTCACGTTACAACTTTCTTTGAGTAGCTTGGATAGGTGGTGTTTTGAAAAGAGTTTACACATGAACATCAGCAAATTTAGTTTTATCAGCTTTTACAAAGTGAATAGAAAATTTCATATCTCATACTCCCTGGCTGGTAATCGACTAACATGTGGAGAATGTGTCACTTAAGTGAAGGGTCTAGAAGTTATCTTCGACGATCAATTGTTATTTGTAAATCATATTGGTGTCAATACATCAAACTACTGGGATTTATATTGAGAACCTGCAAACTAGTAACATTCAATTCAGTGAGAACTGTGTATCTTGCCTTAATAGTCTCTTGCTTAGAATATGACTATTATTTGATCACCATTTTATACAAATCATTGTGTCACATCGAAAAGAGTCCAACATAAATTCCTAAGATTTTATGCTTATAAAATGTATTTCAGTATCGACAATCATGATTAAACAATTCTTTTTAACAGTTTCAACGTAGACTTGTTATTCAAAAGAAGAGAGAATGCTGACCTTATATTTATATACAAATTAATTAATGACCTTATTACATGCCCTGAACTTCTCGAGAGGATTCACTCACTGTTGCCTTTCATCATAGAAACTATGGGCTGCACTCTCCTATTGATTGTCTACTTAGAATGTTCAATAAAAAAAAGACATCTAGAGATCACAGGTATAGGCCTGTCAAAATTCAAATGTCTTATTATAAGTACACCAAATTCTTGATGTGTTCACTTATTAATTATATAATTGTCGCCATTTATCTCTGTATTTTGAATTGTATAATCTACAGGGCGTTTATTAAACATACGGCAAAAATTTAAGGGGCTATTCCTTGGACTATTCTAAGGATATTTTGTCCTTTGATTCGTCACAATTTTTTATTTTTGAGAGATAATTATGATCACTGGACTTATCAGATGCTGAACTGATTGTTTATATAAAAAATTGCAAATTGACCTCGGGAAAGTATTCAAACAAAATGTTTCATCAAACCTCGCGAATAATATTCGATAACAATTTCCTCTTTTAGTATCTGACCGTTAATGACTTGGCTTCTGAAAATTCCTTCGGAGAATCATCGAATGTCCTCGACAGTTCCAGATATTAATCATTCGAATTAAGAGTAAACAATGTCGAAAATATTTCGTAAACCGTCCGCATTAGGTATTCCTCATGAATTGCCAAATAGGTGGAAGATATACAAAACAAGGTGAACGATAGGTAATGTAATTAGATGCTATGCGACAGAATGACTAAACGTGCGATGATAACCTTGTCTTGCTTCGTCTAAAAGGATACAGAATAAAATCATTCATATTCTCGGTACTGATCTAAGAACAATCCCATATTCGATTACGTGACTATTTGATGATGAAACATTTCTGAAATTTGGTTGACAAACAACCAGATATAGTGAGTCATATCCGTTTTGAGAATTTCATGAAAAAAACGTATTCAAAAAACACTTCATTGCGAGATTTTCGCTGAACAGTTTTACAAAAAAGCAACACGTGTTTCGCCATGCAATTGCGAGACACGTGTAGCGTTTTTACAGAACTGTTTAGCTAAAAATCTCATTATGAAGTGTATTTTGAATACGTTAGTTGGATTTTCATCGAGTATTAGTCCGGTCAAATTAGACCAAAAAATAAGAGTAAAGCTACCTAAATTCCCACCAAGCTAAAAATCAGTAAGATTGTTAAAAATATGATCAAAAATAAAATTTTAAAGTTCCCCATCTTTCCCCTGAATGGAAAAAATTTTATTCAAGTTCAAAGGTCAAAAAAATGAGTTTTTCGCGATTTTCAGCAAAACGGTAAGTTTTATCATAAAAGTATTTCAACCAAAAATTGTAGATCTTAAAATTATCTACAAAAAACGTATCAATACTATTTTTCCTAAGAGCCACCGTTTTTGAGATATAACGATTCAAAAAGTTGAAAAAGCTGTAATCGTCATGATATGCATGAGTACGCCATGTATATACATCTCTGCAATTGTAAAATATGTTGAAATATTTTTCTATCAGTCATTGTAACTTACACAACATCTACATCATCTACATCAATTGATATTTCATTTGATGAAAATATGACAGTTCCAACCAGTCAACAAAAATTTCTTACAAATACTCACAACAAGTCTCGGTTCATTTCAATGTTGAAAGAAAAATTTACTGCTGTTGGCAAAACAAGCTAATAATGATGCTGATGTATTGATAATTGAAACAGCAATAGAGCAATTCAATTTGACAAATATAACTTTTGTTGTTGGTAAAGATGTAGACTTACTCATATTACTGCATTTTACAGGAGGGGTAAAATAACAGTTTTCAAAATGTTTGAAAAACAAATTTAGTTCAATGTGCGGAAGTTTTTTAAAATAGTAATTCAACTCGACAAGAAATTATCACTAACGGCATTCGCTTTCTTCTTTCTATGAACGGAGCTCCTAAAAAACTACCTGCTTAGATAAGTATAGATATGCATGTTTCGTTAAAAATACCAAAAGTAAAAAACAAGTACAATTACATTGTCTTCCTTCAACCTCATTTGCTGCTCATCAACGTCTTTTTCGGGTATATTACCTAGTTCAAGTGTGGTTTGGTTATTAGCTAGACGCTACAGACTGGGGTTGAAAGTTGGTCAACAATTCATTACAACCAGCCCAAACTTTACTTTCACCTGCGCCGGAAAAACTGCTGAACACAATTTTTTGCAATTGCAAATAGCGGTGCAGTGCTAAATGTGATTGCAAAAAAGCCAGACTGTTTTGTTCTCTGGCATGTACACATTGTCAAGGCCGATCGTGCTCTAATATTGAACTACCAACAGTGGAGGATCCGTTTGATTCCAACGAGGCGACATGCGATACATCGCTATTAACGCAGTTTACTTACATGTACTCAGGATGAAGATGAAGAAGAAAAACAAGAAGATCAAGAAGAAAAACAAGAAGAAGAATTTGAAAGTTACGACTCGGACGATTAAAGTTCACTATTGTTTTTTATTTTAAATTGCTTTTATCTTTTCAATCTCTGCCAATATCCATTATTTTGCAATAGTTTCAAATGAAACAGGATCACAACTGCTGTATATTTTCAGATAAACGGATAAATAAGAACTGACAGAAATATTCTCGATTGTTGAAGTGACCGTCATAAAATTTCAACTACCACCCTGGTGGTGAGAGTTTCTAATTGTACTTTTTTACAAAGCACGTCGCGTAGTTTGGCCCGCGGGCCGTAGTTTGGAGACCCCTGATCTACATGAATAAATCTCCCTACAAGCTTTTATATAATACTATTACTATGTTGCTGTATCGCAGCTGTTCCATTGTTTTGACAGAATCAGAATCAACGAACTTAGGCGTGCGCAGTGTTATAAAACAGTGCTTTCAAAAAATGGTTCTACAGCGCCATCTAGTGGCGAAGTTACAGAAAAATTGATAGCCTAAAAACCTTCTCTGTGAACAATTACTTATACATGTCAAGTTTCATCACGATCGGTCGAGCGATGTAGAAGTTTATCACTTACCAACCAACCAACAAATATCCCTTTTTATATATATGACAAGTACTATATTGCTGTATCGCTTCTGTTCCAATGTTTTGACAGAATCAGAATCAACGAACTTAGACATGCACAGCATTATAATATAGTGCTTTCAAAAAAATTGTTCTACAGCGCCATCTAGTGGCGAGTTACAAAAAAATTGATAGCCTAAAAACCTCTATGAAAAATTACTTATCCATTTTCATATAGTAGATATATAAAAATGGATGTTTGTTGGTTTGTTGGTAAGTGATAAACTTCTACATCGCTCAGCCGATCTATATGAAACTTGACATGTATAAGTAATTGTTCACAGAGAAGGTTTTTAGGCTATCAATTTTTCTGTAACTCGTCACTAGATGGCGCTGTAGAACAATTTTTTGAAAGCACTGTTCTATAACGCTGCGCTCACCTAAGTCCGTTGATTCTATCAAAACATTGGAACAGCAGCGATACATCAACATAGTACTAGTGTGATATATTTTGTGATGTTGAACAATTGTAGGTTTCTAGAGCATGTAAAAAGCATGATTTTAAAAATAAGTGTTTTTCACTAATCATTTATTTTTTGATTATGACTGGATATATTCCTTAGTGCATATTTTTCAGAAAGATGATTTTATGTTATAAATATAAATTTTTACCTCATGCTTAGGACTTAGTATAGACTACAACCTAAGATTTGTTCATCAAATCAATACTCTCATTCAAAGGTCGTACGGTATTCTGAAACATCTGTATTCAAACAGACACTATCTTTATAGGTTTCCCAAAATTACCATTTAAGACGTTCCGATTTTATCTATTTTCAATTATTTCGATGTTGTTTATGGCCAATGTATCGATTCCATAACTTCTGCAACAATTTAGAAAGTACAGAACGCCTGCATTAGACTGATAGTTAGCTTGAATTACAGAGATCATGTGACCACTTCAATCAATCAATTAAATTGTTTGAAAATGCAAAACAGAAAAGAATTGCATTTCGCCTGTTTCTTTTACAAACTGATAAAAAAACAACAACCCACTTATTTGGTAAAGAAACTCTTTCCCAGACATCAGATACATTCAAGAAACCTTAGATTTAACAATAATTTTGACATTCCGAATCATAACAGCACTATCTATGAACGATCCTTCACGTATCATGCTGTAATAATGTATAATTCATTCAGTGAATCTTTGAAAAATTCATCACTACCGCTATTCAAAAGTAAACTTAAAACTGAATTGATCAGTCAACAGTGATCCAGACATAAACATTTATATTTCATTTTACTATTGTCCTGAAATTGCCATTTATTTTTTGTAACGTTTCTTTTTCTTTTCAAATGTGGTTGAGTGGAAGAATAGCGCTTTGTTAAACTCCGCCACGTAAAATAAAGACCATGTATTATTATTATTATTACATTGGGAATGTTCAGCATACTGGAAGATTCAAATTGCCAGATACCATCATTCATACTCAGAAAATTTGCTTAACAAGCATGATACCAAATGCAGGAATGTTTTTTAAATTTCAAATTCACTTTTCAGGAAGTCAAAAGCGAAAGAAATCAGATGAAGAAGATTTAGACGATCGTTTGGAAGATGAAGATTATGACTTACTTGAAGAGAATTTGGGTGTCAAAGTTGTGAGACGTAAATTCAAACGTCTACGTCGTTTTGATGATAATGAGAGTGAAGGAGAAGAGGAACAAAATGCTGATCAAGATCGAGATCAAATTGCCATGGATATATTCTCAGAAGATGTGAGTGTTTTTTTATTTTTCATAGACAAGTAGTCAATACATTCAATAATTTTGAGGAAAACGATAGTTAATGAGTTTTACTTTATATTTGTATTTCAAATAATTTTCTATTTAGTTTCTTCAATATTTCAATAACATGTTTAGATGAGTTTGAAGTATATTTTTCCTTATCTGTTTTGCTTATCTAAAGGAAAGAGAAGATCTAGCGAGAAAGGTAATTAAGATGAGGCTGTTGGAATTGTGTTTGCTTTGTCAATCTCTCCTCGACACAGTCTTCGGACATGGGAGGTTTCTTCCCCACTTGGGGCTTTTTTCACGAGATGGAGTTGTTACTAGTTAACAATCTTTCTTTTATACAATGGTTTCATACATGCAGTTGAGCCGTGTTGAAATTAATCGAGTCCCAAGCACTTTGCTGTTTGAATCGGATCNTAGGGCACTTTGTTTCGAAGATACGAAGCGAAAAATAATTTTGGCAATAACAATCTACCTACTACCAAAAATTACATGTAATGTTTCTCAACCTACAAGAACTGTTGAAAATGACTACCCCCCGCTCGGATGCAAGAATCCAATCTTCCTCTCATCGACTCCCGAACTCTTTAAAAAACACCAGGATCACTTACGAGACATACTATTCAAATTGAAAGTCTGCAGCCGTTTGTAGTAATCGGAATGTTGTTGATAAGTACCAACGGAATTGTTAGATTTTTCATTACTTGGTAGCTCCAGTGTAGTATACTATACTTGTATTTCGGCTATGTTAATAATTTTAAAATTACCAAAATTGTTACTGTTGAAATTCTTTCTCGCCCTGTATCTTCAAAACAAATCGTCCTCTCAAAAATTATCAAAGGATAAAATATCCTTAGAATAGTCCAATGTTCAATAAACACCCTGTATAATTCTGTTTATCTTAGTGCTTTTACATATTTACACGTGCCTGATATTACTTTCATTCTCATTTTTTAATTTTCAATCTTTTCTTTGATTGTTTATTGTTTAAGAATAAAATTCTTGTTACAAACACAATGTCATAAATTAATATTAACACGTTCAGTGGCGTTGACGCCATACGGCGTTTTTGTGCTTCCATAGGTACGTGACTTGACGCCAAACGGCGTCAAAAATTGAAAATCATCGCCGGATGGCGACCTAATAAGCATATCAGCCAATGTTAGTTGGACCCCTACTGTCACGTAACATGGGAGCATATATACCGTAGTAGATAATTATCCCCTCCCACTCGCCCTAACCACCTTTTCTGGGGAAGCTTGGCTTTTGGCGCGCATTACGCCATGCGGCGTATCAGTGCCAGTTGAAAAACATTGCTTATCATAGTAATGTCTGTTTACGAAGAGAGTTTGTTTACAAAGAGGTTTTTCGTTGGAGCAACAGAAAAAGTAAGTAACTTCATAATATTAGTCTTGATCTATTATGATTTTATAATTGCCTACACTTCTATAAATAGCTAAATACTTATTTGAATTCCAGATGGATGGAGATGGTCATACAAATGATCCTTATGAGAGAGAGCAACGCAGATTGAAACGTTTGTTTGACGAGTTATCTTCTGGATCTGAACATGAAGAATCAGATCCATATGAGGATGAGGGAGAGGATGAATCGGATCAGGATTATGTACCAAGTGAAAATTCTACAGAGTCAGATGTGGAGAATGATAAAGCAGATTTGAGCACCAATTCGGAGACTGACACTGACCCTAATAGTGATCAAGACCTTTCTCCAAGTTCATCACGGACACTGTTTGTTCAGCAAACTCAAAACAATGGGGACAGCGATTGGGAGGACACAACAACAGATATACCAGAGTTTGACTTCGATGAAGCTGGCAACTGTTTGAAAATCACCCTTGATGATAACTCCAGTCCACTCCAGGTATTTGAAAAACTACAAACTGATAAAAAAACAACAACCCACTTATTTGGTAAAGAAACTCTTTCCCAGACATCAGATACATTCAAGAAACCTTAGATTTAACAATAATTATGACATTCCGAATCATAACAGCACTATCTAAGAACGGTCCTTCACGTATTATGCTGTAACAATGTATAAGTCATTCAGTGAATCTTTGAAAAATTCATCACTACCGCTATTCAAAAGTAAACTTAAAACTGAATTGATCAGTCAACAGTGATCCAGACATGCACATTTGTATTTCATTTTACCATTGTCCTGAAACTGGCATTTATTTTTTGTAACGTTTCTTTTTTTTTTCAAACGTGGTTGAGTGGAAGAATAGCGCTTTGCTAAACTCCTCCACGTAAAATAAAGACCATGTATTATTATTATTATTGTTACATTGGGAATGTTCGACATACTGGAAGATTCAAATTGCCAGATACCATCATTCATACTCATAAAATTTGCTTAACAAGCATGATACCAAATGCAGGAATGTTTTTTAAATTTCAAATTCACTTTTCAGGAAGTCAAAAGCGAAAGAAATCAGATGAAGAAGATTTAGACGATCGTTTGGAAGATGAAGATTATGACTTACTTGAAGAGAATTTGGGTGTCAAAGTTGTGAGACGTAAATTCAAACGTCTACGTCGTTTTGATGATAATGAGAGTGAAGGAGAAGAGGAACAAAATGCTGATCAAGATCGAGATCAAATTGCCATGGATATATTCTCAGAAGATGTGAGTGTTTTTTTATTTTTCATAGACAAGTAGTCAATACATTCAATAATTTTGAGGAAAACGATAGTTAATGAGTTTTACTTTATATTTGTATTTCAAATAATTTTCTATTTAGTTTCTTCAATATTTCAATAACATTTTTAGATGAGTTTGAAGTATATTTTTCCTTATCTGTTTTGCTTATCTAAAGGAAAGAGAAGATCTAGCGAGAAAGGTAATTAAGATGAGGCTGTTGGAATTGTGTTTGCTTTGTCAATCTCTCCTCGACACAGTCTTCGGACATGGGAGGTTTCTTCCCCACTTGGGGCTTTTTTCACGAGATGGAGTTGTTACTAGTTAACAATCTTTCTTTTATACAATGGTTTCATACATGCAGTTGAGCCGTGTTGAAATTAATCGAGTCCCAAGCACTTTGCTGTTTGAATCGGATCTTTCCTGCCCTGATGAGAGGTGGTACCTCAAAATCTGTCTGTAGGTGATCTACTCGAATAATTTCAGCATAATTCTGCTGCTGCTGTCGGATATAATTCAATACCCAGCGTGGTATTAGCCTTGGAAGTAGTTGTTTTCTGGCAGACATTTACCAGAACCTATGGTGTAGGTCAGTGGTCGCCAACCTGTCGATCGCGAGCTACCGGTAGCTCGCGGAGGCAATTCTGGTAGCTCTCACAACGATTTTAATTTAAAAAATACAAACTGCAAAAATTAGAGAAGCTTTCGAAAATTCCACAAAAAAATCTAATTGTCATAATATTAAACATAAACAGCGGCAACGTTGCGAAGAGCGATCTGCCGCTGACGCCATCAAGCTAGAACCGACCAGCCGGACCAGTGCGTTAGTGTTCGAGAACGATCTGGATTGCTTTGAACGGGATAAATACGCACGGCGCGGCGACATTGCGCTTAGTTTAAAACTGAACGCGTAACCAACGTCCAGCGGTTGGGTTAGTAGAGAACAACAATAAAAATGTGTGTTTGTTATGTAATACTTCGGTCTCCGTTACTAAAAAAGGAAATATTGAGAGACANCTATGTATTATGTATTACCAGTTAAATAGTAAAATAAATACATATAATGATAAATTAACTGTGGATTATTTCATTTACGTTGCGTTACGTGGCTTCCGTGTGGGTAGCTCGCTGTTTATTCCAAAATTAACAAAGTAGCTCAACACATTGAAGAGGTTGGCGACCACTGGTGTAGGTAGTTGGCAGAGATGAATATTTCGAGATTTTATTCCGAAATATTTATTTTCTAGGTGTTCTAAGTTCAATTAATCCAGTTTACAGTTTTTATTTACTGTAAACATCCACTGCCATCATTTTTGGTTGAAAGAAAACATAAAAGATTACTGAACTTCACTCATTTGGAAACCCTCTCCGTCTACATTTTTTAACAAATTTTTGCCTTGCCTTTGCTTTTCTGCCTTACATTGAATGGCGTCTGGTAGTTTTTATAAAGATTTTATTGGTTACCGTTTAAAAATGTTCTGATATTTATGTGTTTCAAACTGAAATTTTATCATGGGATACTCCTAGTTTCAGTAACATTTTTTTTAAATGGTTTTTTGAGCTCTCTTGCTGTCACACATTTCAAAATTCTTACTACATCACTTGACTCGGCTCATCACTCTAGAATTTCATCAAAATCAGTTCATCAATAATAAAGCTAAAGAAAGTTTGAAAAATATATTGGAATGGCTTACAATTACTGCATCAGATTTGCTTCACTTGTAACTTTTTTAATGATGAATATGTTACAGAGATAAAATGTTCCATAACTAATTCGAACTCCAGTCAACCACTGCTTCCCAGTTGCAGACATCATAGTCAAAAACACTGAACAATATTTGATTATCCACACATAAATATCAGCTCTGTGAAAATTAATTATTAATTATTGCATTATTTTATGGTCTGTGTTATATAATGCATGTCTACATATATGTTGGGTTAGGTTTAGAGTAAATTAAGTTTGACTGTCTGTGTATACTCGGGATAAATGAATTGAATAATAAAATATCTTTCTGTAGGATGATGAACGAAGATCGGAGCGTAGCCATAGGGCCCCTGAACCTGAAGCATTTGGAGATGAAGAAGATGAAGGAGAATACTCTGATGCCGACGACTTCATTGTGGACGATGAGGGTAGGCCTATAGCCGAGAAGAAAAGGAAAAAAAAGCCCATTTTCAGCGATGCGGCTCTTCAAGAAGCCCAGGAAACTTTTGGTGTTGACTTTGATTATGATGAATTTTCCAAATATGACCAAGATGAGTATGATGAGTCTGAAGAAGATGAGGAAGACGAGTATGAGGAAGACGACGAAGGAGAAAGAAGGTAATTTTTATTTTCGTTTATTGCAATTCCTGAATTTCACTATTTATTTAAAACTCAATTTTAATTTCACACACAACTCTATTCTATTGTTTAGGAGGAGATCTAAGAAAGCTGCTAAGAAGAAGCCTACTAAAAAATCAATATTCGAAGTCTACGAACCTAGTGAACTCAAAAGGGGCTTCTTTACTGACCTTGACAATGAAATCCGAAACACGGATATTCCAGAAAGAATGCAACTACGAGACGTCCCAGTTACGTCTGTTCCTGACGACTCTTCTGAACTCGACGATGAGGCCGAATGGATCTACAAACAAGCGTTTTGTAAACCGTCAGTGTCTAATATGGACGCGAACTTATCTCCTGAAGCTCGAGATAAAATGAAAAAAGGGCCGCAAACAATCGTCAAGATCAGGAAGGCGTTGGATTTCATCAGAAATCAGCAGCTGGAAGTTCCTTTTATCGCTTTCTACAGGAAGGAGTATGTTCAACCGGAACTGAATATCAATGATCTTTGGAAAGTTTATAGATTTGATGCAAAGGTAATAACATTTATTTGGTAAATAGGATGCATTCCTAATATACAATAACAAAATTATAAGTAACAAATAATTAATTTGTATTCAAAAAATCATGACTTATCATCTTATTTGTAATAAATTCAGTTACATTTGTTAGAAATATGTTACAGTAGTTCAGTCCTAAACCTTTTAAGATTGAAGCTGATTTAATCGAATGGGCAATTTGTTGTACGTATCAAAAACTTTGACATATACTAAGTTCATACTGTTTTTGGTATTAGTTCCATGTATATGTATGTCAATATTATGTCTATTGTCTGTTCAGAAATGAGAGAGACTGCAGCAGTATATCTATATATATTTTAGTGCCATAGGCATTCAAATTATTTACTCTCAACGAATTGAATAAATGAATTTATAAGACGAAAATACAATATTTGTTCTTGAAAAATATCATTCATAACAAACAAAATAAAAAATCTACTATGACAAATGTTGAAATATGTCCAGTAGTAACCAAGATCAATTGTTATGAATGTATATAATTTTCTAAGAATACAATATCTGCCCGAAATAAAAAATAAGGAAGAAGTAGTGCAAAAATGCGCGAGTATGACCGGTGTCAATAGACCGACAATTTTTAGAATTCTCAAGGAACTCAAGGAAAACAACAAATTATTTGAACCGAAAGTATCCACTGGTGGAAAGTGTCTGGTTATCGATGAAGAAGTCAAGAATTCTATTAGGAGAACAGTATACGGAACAGATGCATATCTTACTTTCCTTATTATATCTGATGTGTCCAATCTGTTTTGAATTTCTTGCAATTCTTCAGCATACCATTTCAACAATTTCGTTTTAACTTAATGTGTTAATTCTTATATAGGATATCATGATTCAAACATTGTCAGAAATTCCTTTTGAAAGCATGTTAATGCTGCAGAGAGATCTAGAATTTCAAGAAATATCTTTCAGTCCAATTCTAATAATTTCTTTTTGCTATTTTTAGAAATTTGTCTTGCTGTCACTTTGTTGTTTTTTATTCATTATTCATTCTTTTGGTTCACTATTTGGGTGATCTTTTCAGAATTTTCTGATTGATTCGGCCGTTACTATGGATGAAAATCCATAGTAAATCTAAAGCAAATGGAACTTCAAACGTTCAAGCNCACAGTAGCTTTCTCCTGATCAAATCGTAAAGTGTACTTTTTGAAATTACTTTTCAGAATTTATATTTATGAATGTACATCTAACAAGATCTACATGTTACATGTGATGGATTATAACAATAATTATTTTACAGTGGTGTCAACTGAAAACACGTAAAGAAAACATGCTGAGACTATTCGAGAAAATGAGATCATATCAGTTGGACATACTAATGAAAGATCCCGACGCTCCCATACCTGATAACGTGCGAGTTATGAAAGATTCAGATATAGAGCAGTTGAAGAATGTGCAGACCCCTGAAGAACTCAATGACGTGCACAATCATTTCATTCTTTATTATGCTGCCGACTTGCCTGCCATGCATGCGGCTTGGAGGATCAAGGATAAAGAAGAGAAAAAACGGGCCAAAAGGGAAGCCAGGATGAAGCTCATTGCTGAAAGCGAGGAAGGAGCAGACATTCCTGAAGAGGTAGAAGAAGTTGAGGATGATGAGCCGGAACCTGAGACTTTGAAGTATGCAAATAGATCTGGCAGTTACTCACTGTGTGTAAAGGCGGGATTGGACGGTTTAACGAAGAAATTTGGTTTAACACCTGAACATTTTGCGGAAAATCTGCGAGACAATTATCAGAGGCACGAAGTAGATCAAGAACACGTGGAACCGCTTGAAATTGCGAAAGAATTCATATCTCCCAAATTCTCGACAGTTGAAGAAGTCCTCCAAGCGGCCAAGTATATGGTTGCTCTGCAAATTGCTAGAGAGCCTTTGGTTCGAAAGTGTGTGAGAGAAACTTTTTACGAAAGGGCAAAAATGAATGTCGTACCAACTAAGAAAGGTCAGAAGGAAATTGACGAGTCCCACAACTGTTACAGCATGAAATATGTCAAGAACAAACCTGTTAGAGACTTGACCGGCGATCAGTTCCTGAAACTTTGCCTTGCAGAAGAAGAACATCTGCTGACCATTTCCATAAATGAAACGATTGAAGGTAATACCAGTGGATCATACATTGATGAAGTTAAGCAACTGTATATCAAGGTAAGAATATTTAGGGTGACTTTTTAGTGTATGATAAAAGTTTGTTACGGAGTATGCATATCAGAGAAAGAAATTATCACCGGTAATTGAAAATCAAATTCCAAAGTCCAAGATAGTTTCCATACTGAATGTTGGTTTTGTCACTAAATTCAAAACAATTGTTTCAATATTATTTTTTATGAAGATCTTTTTTTTTAAACTGTTCCTACCACTAATATCTCGAAGGTGGGCAAGACAAGGTTAGAATTGGGCGAAAGTTACCTTTTTTGGGGGACAATATAAATCTGTTTTCAGATCATGACTATCAATGGCAATTCTCATTTTATTCACAAAAAATAAAATTCACCAATTTCATTGGTTCGCTCAACCGCTTCCATTTCGAATAAAAAGGGAGAGAACTTTTTTGTTCTGTGTTTTCATGTTTGTTATGATCCAGTATGAACCAGCGTTTTAAAGAATAACATCTTTCAAGTCATTGACAAATAAGTTGAAAAGCAATGGCCCTAAATGAGAACCCTGTGGTACACCCGATGAAAATTAGATTTCATCAATAATTTTTTTTCAATACGAACGTCTAGTATTTTCATCAATTTGATGAAAAAAGCTAGACGGTCATGTTAAAAAAGAATGCAGAAATTTTTTGTGTTTTCATTTCTTACTTCGTTTTTTTAAGTGAAACCTTGTCGAGTGTCCATTTTTTGGCATACTTCGGCAATTAGTTATTAGTGGTTGAACCACTAACAACTCTAATCAATATATGCCTGAAAACATCAACTGTACCATAAATATGGAACATGTTGAAAGTCTGCCCAATTTTCAAAAAAGGAGATAAAAGTGAGATAAAAAATTACAGATCAATTTCTGTCATATGCAACTTTTGTAAAGTGTTTGAGATGCTTCTTGAGAAGACAATCTACTGTCATTATTATTATCAACATTATTAGCCCCCAATCAACACGGTTTCATGAAAGGACGTTCAACCATCACCAATCTTGTACAATCACTCAATGTATTGCGGAGGGTATTGATTGTCAGTCTCAAACTGATGTCATCTACACTGATTTTTGTAAAGCGTTCGACAGACTTGACCATGGTATCCTACTCAACAAGCTTTCGACTTTTGAGTTATCCAATTTACTCTCTTCAAATCGTATTTTTACAACTGTAAGCAGTATGTCCAACTCAATGGCCTCAAGTCTGTAGAATATGTAGCAACATCTGGTGTACCACAAGGATCAAACTTAGGTCCCCTACTTTTCAATATGTTCATCAACGATATCGGAGCTGAGATTGATGTCAATTTCCTTTTATACACAGATCACTTGAAACTCTGTTACAATATAATTTGTAAAATCGTGTTGCTACATGGTGTCACAAGTATAATCTATCTGTCAACATATCCAAATTTAATGTAATGTCTTACTCACTCAAAAAGAATCCGACACATTACACATATATGTCATAAACAATCAAGTTTTGGAGCATCCTGGCACACTCACCGATCTAGGTGTTACTTTTGATTCATTTGTCTCTTTCAATAAACATGTTGACACTACTCTGACAGCTGCTTATCGCATGTGTGGATTCTTAGTTAGAAATACAAAAGACTTTGAAACAGCTTCAACATTTAAATTACTTTATTTCACTTTTGTTCAATCTAGGCTGGAATATGCATCTGTTGTGTGGAGTCCCCACTATCAGGTTCATATAAATCAATTAGAAGCTCTACAGAGGCGCCTTTTAAAATATGTGTCATTCAAATTTGAAGGCACATATCCTACTGTAGGAATACCCTATTATGAATTGCTTGAAACTCACAATTTTTGTAGTCTCGAGGTAAGGCGTAAATATTATTCATTTCTTTTTTTTATTTTAAATCATGTGCAATACCTCTAATTCTGTAAGTCATGTCATATATTCAACTTTCTGAGTACCTAGATCAAAATCAAAATTTTTTTTACATAGATTCACAAATTATATTATGTAAGTACATATTTGTAAATGCCACTGTTTCTCCCTATTCTGTGTATGAATAAATAAATAAATTATTTAGATTACCAGAATGTTGATTGAATTTCTAAAACCACTTTGCAATTTTTTTTTTCAGGACGAATTCAGCAAGAACGTACAAGATTGGAATGCTCTCAGAATGGAATGTGTAGAGAGAGCTTTAACAAAAAGTGTTTTCCCAGATTTGAAAGCAGAACTAAAGAGAGTGCTGCTATCCGAAGCGAAGGAATGTGTACTGAGAGCTTGTTGTAGAAAATTATACAATTGGATAAAGGTATATTTTTTTTATACTCATTAATTTGCAAAGTGTGTTCTGGTAGTACCTCATTGATTACCTTGACCATAAATGAGAGAAATGTACAAGTGAATCTTTGGCAAACAAGTGAATTAAACATCTTTCAGCATTCACCACTGTATTATCGACATATGATAACAATCAGAGAAGCCTAAGGACACTTCCTTGTGGTACACCTTGATCATTTCTGATTTTTGCTGATAGCCCATTTTTTATTCAAGGCCCTTGGTTTTTTCGTCAAGGTAATCAACCAGCCACACCAGAGCGTCTTCTACAATACCAACATTTTCTGTTTTTTTTTATTACTTTTTATCANCAAATGCACTTCGGATAAAAAATCTATGTGAAAGTAGTAATAAAAACAGTGGATCCTCTATTTTTAGATTGCTCCATACACAATAACATTTTCCGAAGAAGACGAGGATGACTGGGACACTTCCAAAGGAATCAGAACTATGGGCCTTGCCTATGTTCCGGATTATACCGTGTCAGCTTTCGCTTGTATTGCTGCTCCAGACGGAGAAATAACCGATTATTTGAGGCTCCCCCATATGCTAAAAAGGAAAAATAGTTACAGGAATGAAGAGAAGTTGCTGAAGGAGTCCGACTTGCAAGCAGTTAAGAACTTTATCTACACCAAAAAACCTCACGTGATCGCCATCGGCGGAGAATCTAGGGAGGCACTGATGATCGCCGAGGACCTCCGTGGGGTTATAAATGAGTTGGTGGAATCAGACCAGTTCCCCCAGATAAAGGTTGAGATTGTGGACAATGAGCTGGCGCAGGTGTATGCCAACTCTAATAAGGGACAAGCAGATTTCAGAGACTACCCAGAACTTCTGAGGCAGGCTGTATCAGTGGCCAGGAAAATGCAAGATCCTCTCGTTGAGTACTCCCAGCTTTTCAATGCGGATCAGGAAATTTTAAGTTTAAGGTTCAGTCCACTACAGGAATCTCTCCCAAAAGAAGAATTGCTCGAAGCTTTATGTTTGGAATTTGTCAACAGAACAAACGAAGTGGGCGTAGATGTCAATCTGGCCGTTCAACAAGCCCACAAAAGTAATCTGGTTCAATTCATCTGCGGTCTCGGACCGCGTAAAGGCCAAGCTTTATTGCGAGTTTTGAAACAAACCAATCAGCGACTGGAAAATAGAACGCAGCTTGTTACATCGTGCCACATGGGTCCGAAGGTTTTCATAAACTGTTCAGGATTCATAAAGATAGACACGAGTAGTTTGGGAGACAGTACGGAGGCTTACGTGGAAATACTGGATGGGTCTCGCGTTCATCCAGAAACATACGAATGGGCCAGGAAAATGGCAGTGGACGCCTTAGAATATGATGATGATGAGGGAGCGAACCCCGCCGGAGCCTTGGAGGAGATCCTTGAGGCGCCTGAAAGGTTAAAAGATTTGGATCTTGATGCTTTTGCAGAGGAGTTAGAGAGGCAAGGGTTTGGTAATAAGAGCATCACCCTGTATGACATAAGGGCGGAATTGAACTGCAGATACAAAGATTTGAGGCAACCGTTTCGTTCAGCTAATCCTGAGGAGTTGTTCGATATACTCACGAAGCAGACTCCCGAAACTTTCTATATAGGTAAAATGGTCACGGCTTCAGTTATCGGTATCGCTAGAAGAAAACCCAAACCGGATCAACTAGATCAAGCGAATCCTGTCAGAAATGATGAAACTGGCCTCTGGCAATGTCCTTTCTGTTTGAAGAATGATTTTCCTGAGTTGTCTGATGTGTGGAATCATTTTGATGCTGGCTCTTGTCTAGGACAAGCGACTGGTGTAAGGTTAAGGCTTGATAACGGTGTATTAGGTTAGTAATTTTTTTTTATAACTTGAGACACTCGGTGTAAAACGTTTTTTTTTTTGTTATCAGGTTATATTTATATAAAAAATATCAGTGACAAACCAGTATCGAATCCCGAAGAAAGAGTTAAAGTAGGCCAACTCATTCATTGCAGAATACAAAAGATTGATGTAGAACGGTTCAGCGTTGACTGTACTTCAAAATCCAGTGATCTTTTGGATAAAAACCATGAATGGAGGTGAGTAGAAGTTCATATTTCGAAAATTAGAAAATAGATTTCTTCTTTTGGACCTCGGGATTTTCGTCTCTGTAATAATTGTTTGGTATTTTTTCAATAATCTAGATCTAGAAGGAAATTCTTGATATTGAGTACAACAAGAAGAAATCATTGTTCATGAGAATCATTGTGAGATTATTTCAAATACAATTAAGAATTATTATTCTAAGGAATACAAAAACTTTACAATATTGACATTGCGACTTTCCATTTAAGGCCCCCTCGAGATCCTTATTACGATCAAGAACAAGAAGATAAAGACAAAGGCATAGAAGCGGAGAGAAAAAAAGACTTACAACGTAAAACGTACGTGAAGCGAATCATAGTTCATCCCGCCTTCCACAATATTTCCTATGCTGAAACAGAAAAATGCATGGCCAATATGGATCAAGGGGAAGTCATTATAAGGCCTTCAAGTAAAGGCTTCGACCATTTGACAATAACGTGGAAAGTGGCAGATGGTATTTACCAGCATATCGATGTCAAGGAAGAGGGTAAAGCAAATCCATTTTCATTGGGAAAATCACTGTTGATTGGTAAGGAGGAGTTTGAAGATTTGGATGAAATAATAGCCAGGCACATCACTCCAATGGCTTCATACGCAAGGGACTTGCTTTACTTTAGGTATCACAAAGACTTTGAAGGTGGGCAAAAAGATAAAGCGGAGGAGTACTTGATCGAGGAGAAGAAGAAAAATTCTTCTAAAATTCACTATGTCATCAGCGCTGCTAAAAACTTCCCTGGCAAATTTTTGCTCTCTTATCTCCCACGAAACAAAGTCATTCACGAATATGTAACGGTAACTCCAGAGGGATTCCGATACAGACAGCAAATGTTTGACTCGCTAAATTCTCTGTTCAAATGGTTCAAAGAACACTTCAGGGATCCACCTCCCGGAGGACTTACTCCAGGTACTCCGCGGTCTTCTGGTCGCACGCCATATGGTAGCGGAACTCCATCATTTAGTAAGTGTCTTTGGTGATTTGTTTTGTTTATGTTCGAAGAAATTTTCAAAAAAAGAAATTATTCAATTTCGATTTCTTTTGTAGATATGAATACTGAAGCAATTCAACGAGTTGCTCAAAATCTTCCGAGCCACATGATGCAAACTTTGTCGGCTGTAGCCAACCAAACTCCTCATTATCCTCACACTCCTGGGGGAGCCTACGGTGCTGCCAATTATATCAATACAGTAAGTTTCAAAGTTTATTTATTTATGGCAATGACTATTTTTACAAAATAATTAAAAAGTTCACACATATGTATTTAACAGTAATCTAAGCTATATGATATACCAGTTTATATGCAGAATTGGTTTTACCAGGGTAAAAATTAATTTTTTGATTAGGAATAGCGGAATTCTATCAGGACCTGTAGACAATTTCCCAGGTAATGACATGACTAGATCGACTTGATTATTGAATCTCATTCAAAATATCTGATAGATACTGAAAGGTGGGTCTAGAATATGAGGTGCAGATCATTTTGCATTTCAGTTCACAAATTCATAAAGAAATCACTCCAACACAAATGGTTTGACATCTGAATATATTATTTATTTTCAATCTCGGATTGTATTGCTTCAAGAAGAATACTTTTGGATTTGATAAAATCAAACAGTTACAATCGAAAATGAATTATCAGCTCAAGGTTCTCTTCTGAGATCTATAATTCTTCTGCTATTTTAAGGGATTTGTTTAGATTAGAAACTAACGTGGCATAACCACATGAACAGTATATCATCCAAACTGAGATCTTATTGTTTTGTTATAAAAACACCTCCGTAACTCAGTATCAGGTGAAGTCCTAAAATTACTATATTTTGGACTTGTACAACCAAATCTCTCATATGACCTTACATTTTGGGGTCAAGCACACAACTCTGGTAAACTCCTCACCACACAAAAAAAATAATTCGCTGTATGACTACTACGTTATGTAGGAACTGCTTTGTCAATATTACACGACATAGAGTTTTTATAAGTCATTGACTACAATCAATTCTAAATCTAAATAAATATTGGAATTCACAGTAATAAATATAAAATTTTCTTGACACTGATATTTGAATTCCAAATTTTAAAATTTAAGTTTATGATTAAGTTTATGAAATTTATTTCCATAGGTTCAATAATATTATACACAGTTTATTAACTAACATTGAAGAAATCTAAATTCAGAGCATTGTAAGTGAGTTTTCAGTTTTGCTTTAAACGTGGTTATTGGAGCTTCTTTGGCCAAGTCTGGTAGAGAGTTGAATAATCTGATTCCAATAAGTTTTTTATTCGTAGAGGTTAATCTGTTATTTGGAATAGCGATGTGGGATCTCATTCTAGTCAGATAATTGTGTGTATCTTCATTAAGTGTATACAAATGACTGCGTTTTTATGTAGAATAATTTATTGTAAATAATAGCTGACGGAAGTGTCAATATTTTAAACTTGATGAACCATGGTTTATAACTTTCAATCTGGGTTATAACAGCTCATTTCTAGATAATAAATATTGTCTGAGTGTAGCAAGAATGGCCCCAGTTAATTAGACCGTAAGTCATAATACAGTGAAACATTCCATGATAAGCAGAGATGGCTGCCTCCGATGTCACTAGCGATTTCATCCTTCTAATTGCAAGTATTATTGCTCTTGATAACTTGCTTATCAATTGATCTACATGAAGTTTCCAATTTGAATTGGGATCAATAATATGTCCTAGAAATTTTACGCTCTGAGTGGCAGTATGCTTGGTATTGAAGACAAGTGTCTTGAGTTTTGTGTGTGTTGAAACTTAGTTTATTCGCCAGGAACAACTCAGTAGCTTGATTGATTGATCCTATCGTGTCATCGATTCTTGTAGAGTAATTTTTTATTCTGGTTGCGTAAGGAGCATCATCAGCAAACAAGGTTGTTAATGCATTTATGTTTTTGGGTAAGTCATTTATCTGAATCAAAAACAATAGAGGTTCTAGAACGCTACCTTGTGGAACTCCTTTATGTATTGTCAGACTTGAACTGCTCTGATTATTGCAGTGAACTATTTGGGATCTATTTTGAAGGTAGGAGGTCATCAGTTTTATAGAAGAGTCAGAAAATACGTAAAATCTCAACTTATCAATCAGTATAGTGTGATTGACACAGTCAAGTGCTTTACGGAGGACAACAAAAGCTGCCGGAGAGGGAGTTGCGGCTTCAAACCCGTCGGCTACAAACTCAACAAATCCTCTCGCTGCTTCAGCTGTAAATTTTCCTTGCGTGAAACCATACTGATGTTCTGAGAAAAAACGGTTCTCCTCAAGATAATCACTTATTATAAATCAGCTTCTCAGCTAATGTTGCTAAAGTAGGTAGGAGAGCCATTCCACGGTAATTATTCAGATCCCCCCTGTCCCCTGATTTAAAGATTGGAATTATTTTCTCTATTTTTAGGTTTTCTGGAAACACATTATCACTCATTATGACACCACCTTGTCTATATATTTTTTCTACAATTGTACATATTATGAATAAAAATGATTGCTTGTACAACAGAATCTTTCCTGATGTTAAGAATTTAATTTCAAACAATCAACACAGTTTCTTTAGAAAAAGATCAACAATAACTAACTTAATGTGCTTCACACAATCAGTAAGTAATGCACTTAATAATAACCTACAAGTAGATACTGTTTACACAGATTTCTCAAAGGCGTTTGACAGGTTGGATCATAACATTCTCATCAATAAACTTCATCAATATGGATTTGACTCCCAACTCTTAAACCTTTTCCGCTCATACTTAACTGAACGTATCCTATTCGTAGATTATAGGGGTCACAAGTCGTTCCAATTTATTGCAACCAGTGGTGCCCCTCAAGGAAGCAATTTAGCACCTCTTTTATTCTCACTCTTCATTAACGGCATAGGAAATAATCCCTCTAGCAATTTCTTACCCTTTGCAGATGATTTGAAAATCTTTCGGTCCATTACATCACAGGAGGACTGCTTAATCTTACAAAAAGACCTTGACTTTCTGTACATTTGGTGTACTGAAAATAAGCTTCCCCTCAATACAAACAAATGTAAATACTCAAAATACACCAAATACACCCTTAAACATAATGTTATTTCTCATGATTACTGCATAAATAACACACCTCATAAATAACACACTCATCAAAAAGATCTTGGTGTCACATTTGACCTTAAACTGAGTTTCTCCATCCACTATGACACAATAACATGCTCAGCCAAACGGATGCTGGAGCTCATTTATCGTAACTGTAAGAACTTTCGTAGCAGAGACAGTTTTTTACCTCTTTTCAATGCATACGTCAAATCTCGGCTGGAATATGCCTCCCTTGTATGGTCACCCATATACAATGTCCACATAAACAAAATCGAGTCTATACAAAGAGGCTTCATGAAATATATTACTTACAAGCTAGAAGGAGTTTACCCTGAACAAGGCATCGACAACAGAATACTACTGAATAAATTTAATATATTATCCCTTCAAAACCAAAGAACCTACTACTCTATAATTTCAATTTATAAACTAGTTAATAATCTGATTGACTGTCCCGAACTACTCTCCCACTATAATAAATAACACTTGATATAATGACAGGATCAATCAATCCTTCTCAAGATTGTCAATAGGACAAGAAAATCCACATTATGTGGGAACAAAATTCTTTAACAAAATATCTGAGTTGGATTTAAAGGTAATTTAAAGACAATGTTGATTGAAAAAAGCTACTATTCACTACAATAGTTTCTTGATGAAAAATTTACAGCATCCAACATATAACAAATGTAATTATTTTGTTTGAAGTTTATGAGTATTTTTATAATAAAACACCCAACAATATAAAAAAATTAATTATAAGAAATTGAAAACTCATGTAAAAGAATATATCTTGAAATAGATTGACAATTTCGTAGTTTCACATATTTTTATGTGGTTTTTTGTTTATTTTTATTTGTATTTGTATTATTCTTAGTATGTTTTTTCCTTTTTTTTTTGTATGTTACATTGTCCCTACTCTAAACATGTAATGTTTTTGGGGATTAATAAATTCATTCATCTATTAACGAAAGTTTCTCTATTCAGCATACAAAAATTGAACATTTGTGACGACAATGAATGATTTTTGACTCTGATTATCAATTTCAGCCTTACACTCCGAGCGGGCAGACTCCGTACATGACCCCATACCAAACCCCCCATACCCAGCAGACGCCTCGGTATGGCCACCAAACCCCTTCTCAGGTATCAGGCGCAGCCCCTCACCTAGCAGGAACTTTCTTACACCCTAGCGCGGTGACGCCTTCACAGCGTACGCCCAGCTACAGAAACCTACCAGTACAATCTCCGATGATTTCGCAGAGTCCAGTGCCTAGTCCGGGATCATCGCAAAGCTCTTTCAGCAGCAGTCACAGCCAGCATAATCGAGGAAATTACGGGGATAGGATGCGGTTCCAGCCTCCGGAGTCTCCGAGGAGTTTTGCCAGTAATAATAGAGTTCCTTATCCTGATAACCCAAGATTCGGGTCAGGAGGAACCGAATCGATGGACTGGCAGAAGGCGGCTGAAGCTTGGGCTGCGAGGTCCAGATGTAAGTTATATAATTGTTACGTGACTTTTGGCTTCTCTTAGTAAGCGACAGAACAGTTTAGGTGTATGCACAGACTAATATCTCGGTGGAGTCAGGTGTGGGTCAACAAAATAAAACATATACACCTCTCTTAACCTTTCGGTGGTGACGTGTTGCCGTAGGCCACGAGTGGTGACTTCGGTCTACCACACCGATCAAGTTTAATCGTCTATATAACGTCATAAATTGTATAAACTATAGGATTTTAATGAAGTTAAACTTTTATTGACTTTTTCTTCAAGTAAGTATGAAAAAAACATGAAAGAGTGAATAATTATAAATAACAAAAAGGAACATTCTAAAGCCTACGTATTATAATTGCGATGCACCCATTCGAAGGTTGAACTCAGTCTTTGGCTTCTTCTTGACTGGAACATTCCATACAGAAGATAGTCACGTGTTCCAAACATAGACATTTATTGCGGTCTTGACAGCGGTATTTGGTCCTTCTGTTCTTCTTTGAACTACAGTTAAAACATCTCTCGAAAATATTTTCCGTGTTGCGATTTGCCTCTGCTACTTCTAATTTACAAATCTGACATATTCGAACTCTAAGAGGTCTTGGTAAATTTTGAGACATTGCACGGATTTTCAAATGTGGTTCAATCAGACACAACGCAAGATTTTCGAGAAATTGGCGTCTAACTACTCTGCTCTGGGGTTCATTTGCACAAAAGATAACTTGCGAATTGATTCCAGATAAATTTAGCAAACTGTAAAAAATTACCATTTGCCATCTTCGAGTAGCTCTTGCAGTGTTATAAGATGCACATAATTTCTCCATTACATCAACTCCCCCTTTAGTACGATCATAGTCAATAATTATATCTGGTTTTGAACTATTCCCATCGATTTTATCGTCACTGTGGCAAGTGGAGATCAAAAGAAAATTTTTCTTCTTTTTTGGTACATAGGAAACGAGTGTATAATCTTTTCTAAAACCGAACATACTGGAACCAATTGGACGATTTTTTCCTTGAGCAAATTCAGGCGGTATCTCTTTTTGTTTTTTCGTATAGTTCCAATTGTTGTTAGGTTCCGTTGTATAAGTTTTTTAGCTAGAGGAATACTTGTGAACCAATTATCGGTTGTAATATTCCGACCAGACCCGTGAATTGGTTCACACAACCTATCGGCTAAAGAAAGTGTCGATGTATTTTGAGCAAATGGACCTAAAACGTGAGGGTTGGTTACACTCCAACGATAATTTTGTCTGTGAACATTGCCATTTAAAAAAATGTACATTCGTCACTAAAACAAATATTGTGGAGATAGGTAGGATGCCTTGCAATGGTTTCCGTCATGATTTCAATTTTTTGAGTTGACCCGTTCAAAAAATAAAAGGGGGGAAATTAAAGAAATGCACTGTATAAATTCTATAAGACTTTGAGAAAAAAATACTCGGCTTGTTCATGCACAGCAATTGCTTTCTCTATGTGCGCGCACTTGGCAAAAAAAGAAACATCCACTGGGTGGTGCTTGTCACTATGTCCTTAAGCGAATCCAACCTGGACATTCCACGAGATAGGGTAATATTTCATAAGTTCCCTTATCAGCTGTCTTATTTTGGATCGAAATCTAACCCTTTTATTACCTCGAAGACTATCACACACTCTTATTCTCCGAGATAATTGGAAATACAAGTTGAAACGGTATCATAAAACGCCTAAAAAGCCATTGAAAGTGTTACGGTCTTATCGAGACAAAACGTGGTATAAAACGGAATATAATTTTCGATAACTCACCTCATGTGCAAAAACCCGACGCAACCTTGGGACGTTGAATACTAATATACCATAGACTTATCCTCTATTATTGAAAAAAATCTGGCGATATCTAGAAAATACTATAACCCAAAATGAAATTCCTCGATTTGGAATGAAAATAGTGGAAAATTCGTTAATAACGATACTTAATAGGCACCATTCATCCAATCTATCTAAAATCTACAGTCACTGTTCCGTCGACCGAAACATATGATACGGTTTTTTTTCGTATCACGCTTTTATTAGCTCCCTCCACCTGTATGTTTGTTTGTTTGTAACTCTCAAGCTCCAGATCTGTATTTGACAGAATTATCAATATATTGCTTGATCTATTCGCGGGCAGATGGCACTGCCTAACCTAACCTTGATATAATTCGAACTCACTTTACATGCATTTCTTCATTTGAAAAAAGTATGTTTTTATTAACACGCGCGCCTGCTCCCTTATTTGTAACCCTTCTTTGCGGGCCTGCTGCCTTGGGCTTGGTACAAGATTTTCAGGCTCCCTCCCCGGAATCGGAAAATATCAATAGTCATTTTTCTAAACAATATACAGCTGATTGATCCCAAAGTTTAGATAAAATAAATATAATTTGAAAAGATTTATTTCATAAGATTCGCAGACCGGCCACAATTGAAATCGCTCATTTTAACCGGACAACGAAATTAATGAATTGGCACGTGTGAGGATATTTAATATACCTACAGAGTGTTCTTTTGCGGCGCTACCCTAGTATTTTAAAACCTTTTAGAATTTTATTAAAAACACGTTACATAATATTAGGAGTAAATAATAACGTCATTTATAGTAGCATTATTTATTTGTTTAGGTTACCCCAATATACAAACGTTCAATAAAAATATAATACATAATGTGAGTGTAAGTAAAAAGTAATAATAATACCAAAAGGCCATTGACCGAAGTCCTTCAGCCAGTATACAATTAAGGTACATGAGATTTGTATAAAAAAAGAAATCCATAATAAATTATGAGAGTTATTTGATGTTTTCCCAAACATTTTTTTTCCGGGTGATACTCCTTAGTGTAGATGTTTCAGCTGTTTGGAGGTTATTCAATGTAGGATTAAGACAACTTGAATAAATTATGTGTGTATAATCAAGAAGTGGATGGCAGAACATTTTATATATTTTAGTTATCATTAATATATGAGTTGAAACTTTATACTTTTTATTCCAGCCACACCAAGAAGCGAGGGTCGAAATACTCCACGATCTATGGGTCAGAGGACTCCGAGATATAATGATAACATTGCCAACGATCTGGAGCGCTCCAGGATGAAAAATGTTGGCAAAAGCCCCAGGTCGGCCAGATCCACTCCTCGGACAAACACTTCTCCTCATTCTATGTCGTTGGGTGACGCCACTCCTCTTTATGATGAAAGTATCTAATGACTATGTGTTAGTTTATGGGTGACGGTAGTGGNTACGTATGTTTTACTGTATTTTGTTGGTGCATGGTGCACAAACTTTCATCAAGAATAACTTTTTTTCGAAAAAACCTTAATAAATAAGTTTCTCATATGGTGCATACTTTGGGGATGACACTGTATATTGTTAGTTTCAATTTTCAAGTGGAGAATATGTTGTTATTTATATTGGAATGCTTCCACCCTCCGATTGTAAAAACTAATTTTAATAATCATACTTTTTTTATTGCGTTGTAGTATAAATTTTAAAATGTGATTTTTTAATGGCAAAAAATGTCATTTTGAAAAAGCAATGTAAACTCGATAGGAATATGTGAAATATATTGAATGGATTTTTTTTAATGATCTTTGTTTTTATATGAGCGCTGTTTGTTGGTAATACTTTTAATTCCAATTAGTGCAAAGGTGATCAGTCTAGAGAGCAGCTAAGCAGCTCAATAAGAGTAAGGTAAAACATATCGATTTATAAGCTCAAATCAACAATATTTTTATCCTTCCGGAAATATTTTGCAGAATTGGGTTTACAATTCTCCATTTGGGAAACACTTCTTCAAAATCTGGATGCCTGCAGAATGACGAAAATGTAGAATTTTCCTTATTCCCAAACCCCGCTACAAAACTCTCAGATCTCAGAGAATATTAGTTGGTATAGATAGATCCAAAAGAAGTTTTTAATGAATTGCCTCAAAAAATTCATAAATCTAAAACAGTTCATATACCGTATTCAAAAAACACTTCAATGTGAGATTTCCCCTTGGAAGTTTACAAAACCGCGACACGTGTTTCCCACAATACAATATAATGACGACCTAAGATACTTTTGTACATCGAAACACGTGTCTGGGTTTTGTCAAATTTCATGTGGCAATCTCACACTAAAGTATTTTTTGACTACGTTATAATGGATTTTCATCAAGTATCGGTTAGTTCTATCATACAGTTCATATATTTTCTGAGAACAACAATTGCCAAATCTTTAAATTTTCGTATTTTCAAAAAGTTATTAATATTTATTTGATACCTTCTACATACCAGCATTTCGATCTGTCAGAAGACTTGTAGAGCTATTCGATTTTCTTACCATCCGTGATATTGAAAATATCTGCGCGTCGCTTCTACGGTAAGAAGGACATAATTATTCAAGTTAAAACTGAAAACATTGACTTGACTATTCTTTCCAGGATGAAAAATGTTGGCAAAAGCCCCAGGTCGGCCAGATCCACTCCTCGGACAAACACTTCTCCTCATTCTATGTCGTTGGGTGACGCCACTCCTCTTTATGATGAAAGTATCTAATGACTATGTGTTAGTTTATGGGTGACGGTAGTGGAGCCACTTGAAGGTGGGGAAAGAAGCAAATTGGAGTATTTTCCATGAAAAAGGATGAATGGTCATTGAGATATTTTGCTTTTTAATTACGAGTTAGGTGATATTTATAAAAAAAAACATGCTTCTGAAAAATAAGACTCTCATTAGATGAAATTATACAGTGTCATCCCCAAAGTATGCACAATATGGGAAACTTATTTATTAATGGTTTTTTGACAAAAAGTTATTCTTGATGAAAGTTTGTGCACCATGCACCAACAAAATACAGTAAAACATACGTAATATATGTGGAGCCTTCAAATATTTGATTTTGTGACAAGAGTAAAGTACTCTTATTTTGAAAAATCCCGGGAAATCATTCCTGAATATAATATATC